TTTGCCCTCTTGAATGTTCAGTATCGAAGTAATGCCCTAATCTCGCCCGAGTTATAGGGAAGCGAGTTTTGAGGACGTTCATATAGCAGTATTCTAATATTTGAATTTAAGAAAGTGTACGCACCGTGCAAGACATGAAAACCTATGGCTCGTATAGGCTCCTGTCGTCCGGCTTTTCTTTATGTCCTGTGTGCCACGGTACAAGCTCCCTGAAAGCAGGATAAAACTTCTGCTTCTCAATGAGGAAGAAACAAAGATGCACCTGTATGACACAACATGAGGAATGCGGCTCAGCTGAGGCATGACTTTGCGAGAGGATAGAGCTTCGTGAAGTGCATTCATGTAGTCCTGCAACCTGGTATCAATGATCGCACAGGTACGGGTCAAGAGGCCTACTGCGCGGTGATGACGCCGCGAAGGGTGTCGCAGTTCGGTTACACTGGCGCTACTTTTGCAGTGGAGGTCACCGTATCCAAAAGCTCCCGTCCGTTTACATTTAGAGGCTGGGCGGGAAACCGATGCACGGAAAAGCTCAGAAACCCTTTCACTAATTATACTGCTTCAGAAACCTATGGGAAAGCAAAATGCCGAACGTGTGATTTCACGAAAAAATGGATTGAAATGAAGTGTTATGGCCGCTGAAAGCCCAAAAACTCGCTTTTGCACGGAAAATGTTCGAACGGGACAATTTTGAAAAAGGGGTCAATCACTAAATTTTTTATACTGTTTTGATAGAGAAATATTTGAAGTTTCTGAAACTTTTTACAGCTTTCCAAAAGGTCGCATACGAAAGATAAAAGATACTATATGGGCTCAAAGAGAAGGTGCGCCCTTAGAATTTTGGGTTTTCCACTTCTAACAGAAGTACTTTCCGGAGAGTTAGGCAATCCTTGTAGTTTTCTGAAAGCGCACCTAAGGCACAATCAAAATCTACCTCAACAAGTCAAAAAAAGTACGTCCCAAGAAAGTTATTCCCCTCTAAAAATTTTTCTTCGCCGCGTCCCGTTCTTCCCAGCGCCCGGGTGATACCTGCCGCGCTCCAAGGCTGACGCCGCAACGCAGACGCTTTCTGCGGCGGCGGCGCAGACGCTTTCTGGCGCAACGGATTCATGTCTAGCACTCTTATTAACAAAAACAGGGGGTCGCAACTGGACCCCCTCGAGAGCTAGGGGGTCGCAAAAATCCCGAAAATGTTCGAACGTGACGGTTGACCCTGCTCCTGACCAATTCATTGTCTGCATAAGTGTAAAAAAAACTGAAAGATCAACGAACCGTGAGCAGAATGGGAGTCCCAAAATGCATCCGCACGGCTCCACAACGCTTGGGCTTGCCGAAGCTCCTCAACACACCGCATAAGGACTCGAAATACACTCTCACGTTTCTATAATGACAAAAAAATTCAAGTGAAGTGATCACTAAGTCATGGGTGACATAATCCCCAGTGAGCTAAGAGTTTCATAAATTTCTCTGCCTACTGTCTATTTATCTACCTGTTGGCAATTTCGTGGTCCGTTTACCACTCACACCCTCAGAAATAATCGAGACGGGTATAGAGCCGTATCTGGGGTAAGTAGGCAGAAAGCAGGGTGACCAATAGCAAGTGCAGTAATGGGCATGGCCCACACAAAAAGGGGAGACTTGTACTAAAATCCATTTTGAGTGTTAACTCACATTATAAGAGGGGCACTGTGGACAAATAAGTGAGGGATGAATAAGCGTACAATCAAGACAAGACAATCAAAGAAGCCTCCGAACAATGACTTGCGAATCGATATAGATAAAAAAAATCTGCGCTTTTATATGGAGGATCAGAAGAGGATAGTGTGCTCTACCACTGGAAATGCAGTCAAAAATTTCAAATGCTATCGATGCCAGGTGATGAGAAACTGACTCATGGGTGCAGAGTATGAATTTAAGCCTCGCACTACATACTTTTGACTCATAATTTCCCGAACAGCTTTACTTGTTAAAATCTTGAACTCGGAATTTACCGTACTCGCTGTTGGCTTCCAAAGTAACAACTTTGAAGAAAGTTGCGATGGTACAGAGGCTGAAGACGATGTATGTGCACGAGAAAAGCAGAAACCCCGCTATTTTTGATTAGATTAATTTCAGAAAAGAACTTGAACTTTCGTTTGACTTTATTACGGCTTCACATAGCCTTGAACTTGAAAGAACTTACTACCACCCAAAATCAGGATCCATCTCACAACAGCCAACAAAATGCTACGCGCTAAGAACTGAATCATCCTACGCCCAGAAGGAACAGTGCCCGCCACCGGTTGGTCTCT